ATCAATCAACTGCCTCTTGCATACCCCCCACTGGGGATGTGCCTGCAACCAAGGTACATGCCCTTGACCGGAATCAAACCTGGGACTCTTCAGTCCGCAGGCCGATGCTCTATCCACTGAGCCAAACCAGTTTCAGCAAGAAATTATTACTTTGATTAAAAATGGAAAAATAAGTGATGTTGGCCTGAGGAGGCAAGAAAATGCAAGTACATCTAACACAACTTTCCTAACCAGTCCTGCCATTTAGAGTTTGTTTCCAGAAAGTCACCTTCAGAAAAGAAGTATTGGGAAAATTTACATTTGGAAAGGAGGAAACTCTGTTCCTTTATTCTAAGAGAATATTTGCAAACGAATACAGCAGAGTTGGAAAATCTCCAGATTATTCACCATGAAAGTTCTGTGATTCTTTAAAAAAAAAAAAAAATCGTGTTTTTATTAATAATTTTAAAAAAAATATTTTTTTATTGATTTCAGAGAGGAAGGAAGAGGGAGAGAGAGAATCATTGATCAGCTGCCTCCTCCATGCCCCCTATGGGGGTTTGAGCCCTCAACACAGGCATGTGGCGTGGCCAGAATAGAACCTGGGACCCTTCAGCCAACAGGCCCCGATGCTTTATCCACTGAGCAAAACCAGTCAGGGCTATTTATTCTTTCTTTTTAAAATTTATTATTATTCATTTTTTATTTTTAAGATAAACATCCAACTTTTTAAAAATGAGTATTTATTTTAATCCTCACCAGACTGTATTTTTCCATTGAAAGAGAGAGTGGAAGAGAGAATGAAAGGTGGAAATATCGAGGTGAGAGAAACACATCTATTGGTTGTCTCCTACTACACCATGACAAGGGCCCAGACCAGGGACCAGCTTGCAACCAAAGTAAGTGCCCTTGACCGGAATCAAACCTGGGACCCTTCAGTCTGCAGACCAAGGCTCTATCCACAGAGCCAAATCACCTAGGGGCAATATCCAACTTTTTAAGTGAAAAATTTCAGACATAGCCGAAACCGGTTTGGTTCATAGAGCGTCAGTCTGCAGACTGAAAGGTTCCAGGTTCGATTCCGGTCAAGGGCATGTACCTTGGTTGCGGGCACATCCCCAATAGGGGGTGTGCAAGAGGCAACTGGTCGATGTTTCTCTCTCATCGACATTTCTAGCTCTCTATCTCTCTCCCTCCCTCTCTGTAAAAAAATTAATAAAATATATTAAAAAAAATTTCAGACATAAAACAAGTTGAGAGAATAAGGCAATGAACACCACTTTACCTATGTTCTTAATTTAATAGTTGTCTTTTTTTTATTTTATGTGTATGGACTCTTGAAAAGTTAGGTCCCTGAATAAGACCATTCTATGCAATCATACCATTATTAGAATTCCCTAATAGTAGCTAATATCTAGTCTATATACTTAGATTTGTTTATTTGTCCCCAAAGTAAAACACACATTTTGATCCTAGAGGACAAGCTCGAAGACCAAAGTTCAGGATGAGGAGATGCAAACAAAGGGCAATCAGTGGGTAGGATAAATATCCTTGCATAGATAGTAAAGGAAGGAATGCTCCATTTTATCTGAGAAAGGCTGGGGGGGGGGGGCGGTGAAAAAAACCTTGATTCTCTATCACCTGGATGATTGTTTAGAAATACCTGTAGACGTCACCTTTCTTCTAAGTTCTCTGTGTTTTGGGGCAAGTTGGGGAGGGACAGTTGAGGGACCAAAGGTCATTCTTGGTTGAAGTTACTACGTGAGACCAGACAGGCTGCTTCAGGTAACCTAGGGCTGGCGGGGTGGGGCTGATGTGGGAGCTCTGTTGTTCCCAGAGGCATCCTGTCCAGTGAGGCTGGGTGGACCCTGCTTGCTGGACTGAGGATTGTGAAGTTTGCTCTGAGGATGAAGGCTTAGGTTCCACTACCGAGCTGCTCTTGTAATCATCATAGAATTTTACCTTCAGGCCTAAGGGAATGTTGCAGGGGTTAACAGAAACGGGAATCTTCTTTTTCTGCCTAGGGCCATTTATGTATTTATAACATCGTTCACTTAATATAATTTACTTAATATTAATTTATGTTGCTATGAAAAAAGCTCTTAGATTTATTGAATTTCTGCTGCCTTGGCAGGGCTAGACCCAATGATTATGTATGTGCCTTATATGGCCCTCTGGCAGGTCACTCCCCACCCCTGATTTAGAATCTTGATTTTTCTAGGGTGATGTTGGTGTTTAGACAGGTGCAGTGTGGAATTCAGCCTAAAGCAGCCACATTTCCATTAAAAAACAAAACAAAAACAAACAAAAAAAAACAACAACAACCCTTAAATAACTGCATTGTATAGTAATACTTGAAATGTAGTAGTGTGACTAAACAACTGACTGTGATTTGGTTTGATTTTAATTAAAGTATAAAGCTGAAGTGAAGTGAAATATTTGTCAATTAAACATTTGTTTTCTTTTGCTATCGGTACCTTTTACATGGTTATCATTGAAAATGTAGCTTGAACTGAGATTTATTATGTGTGAAATAGACATTGAATTTCATAGACTTCATATTAAAGGAGTAACATATCTCATGCTTGGATTTGGGGCTTTGCCCCCATTGTGGGGCCTGCAGGAGGCAGCTGATTAATGATTCTTTCTGATCACTGTTGTTCCTATTTCTCCCCCCCCCCCCATTCCTTTGTGAAATCAGTAAAAATATATATTTAGAGAAATGTGGTCTCCATTATAGCTAGTACCTTTCTCTCCCATGATACCCTATCAATATTTGATGAATGAATGCACTGAGGAAGAAGCCCTAAGAATGGAGAATGCAAGATGAGTGGCTAAGTTTTCAGGAAAACTCTGCTGAAGCTGTGTTATCAGTGAGCGGAGGAGACCTCGGTTCTTGTCCTCTTGAAGGAAATATTTCAACAATTTATTGGCCAAGCAAAACATCCTTAGGACAGTGAAACAAGGAAGGGCCTCGAAGAAGCTACAGGAGAGCCGAGGCTGGCCTGCCCAGCTCCCTGGGAAGTCAGAGAAAAGGGGTCTTGGAGACAGGATTAGGGGGCCCAGGCAAGTCGCAGCTGTCCATTGCTCCCGTGGTTACAAGCCCGACGGAGTCCCTTAGAAGGCCCAATTAGGGGATATGTGACTGGAGGAAGGAGAGCAGGACTGGAATGGCACAGGCATGCCCACCGGAGGAAGGGAGTGTGGGACCCTGATCTTCAGGTGTTTGGGTTTATTTTTACTTTTTATTTTTGTTTTTATTATTATTAATTTTTATTATTAATTTTTAGAGAGAGAGAGTAATGGACAGGGAGAGAGAAACATCAACATCGACAGGCTGCCTCCTGCACGCCCCCTACTGAAGATTGAGCCACAACCTGGGCATGTGCCATGACCAGGAATCAAACTTGCGACCTTAGTGCTTGGCCCAAAGCTCAATCACTAAGATACATTGGCCGGGTTTATCTGGCCTCTGTTTCTGTCTTAGATTTCACACTCTACTGAAGGCCCCCCCTAACCCTCACTCCACTCCTTCTTGTGACACACTCCTACACACCCTTCAGAGCACTCTGAAATGTCACTTTCAGGAACCCTGCCCTGACGCCCCTGCCCTGTCCCCTACTCTCCAACCCTCTAAACCCCTACTCCTGCCTTCCCCACTAGCCAGGAAATCTTTTTTTTTTTTTTAATTTTTAAATCTTTATTGAAAGTATTACAGGTCCCCTTTTTTCTCCCATTGACCTTTATAGCCCAACCCTGCCCCCACCCCAAGCCTTTAACACCATATTGTCTATATCCATGGATTATGCGTATATGCGTACTATTCATGTTTCTTACTTTATCACTTCCCACCCACCCACCTTCCCTTGTCCTCCCTCTGAGGTTCCACTGTCTGTTCTATGTTTCTATGTCTCTGGATCTATTTTGCTCATTAGTTCCCACATGGGTGAGATTATGCGGTTCTTGTCTTTCTCTTATTGGCTTATTTCACTTAGCACAATACTGTCCAGATCCCTCCCTCAAAGGTTAAGAGATTCTTCCTTTTTTACTGCCGCATAATATTCCTTAGTATAAATTCACTATGGCATTTTTATCTAACACTCATCTACCGATGGGCACTTTCCAGATCTTGGCTATAGTAACTTATGCTGCTATGAAAGGGGTGCATACATTCTTTCTGGTTGGTGTTTTGGTTTTCTTAAACTATATTCCTAGAAGTGGGATCAGTCAAATGGAGGCTCAATATTTGAGCCATACTGTTTTACATAATGCTGCATCAGTCTGCATTCTGACCAGCAGTGAACTAGGGTTCCCTTTTCTCCACATCCTTGCCAGCACTAGACATCTGTTGATGCTAGACATTCTGACAGGTGTGAGGTACCTCGTTTTAATTTACATCTCTCTGATGATTAGAAACATCTTCTCATATGTCTCTTGGCCCATCTGTATATCTGCTTTGGAGAAGTGTTTATTCACGTCCTTTGTCCATTTTTTAATTGGATTGATTGTCTTCCTTTTGTTAAGTTGTATGAGCTCCTTACATATTTTGGATATTAACCCATTATCAGATGTATCATTGCCAAATATGTCCTCCCATTCAGTGGGCTCCCTTTTCATTCTCTTGTGTCTCTCATCATTGATGTTTTCTTTTCCCTCTCTCTTTCTCTTTCTGAAATCAATAAAAAACCTTTTTTTTTAAGGACAAAGACTATGAAGTCTAAAAATTAATAATAAAAATTAATAATAATAAAAACAAAAATAAAAACAAAGACATTTTTTAAGGACAAAGTAGATCTAAAGTTTTTTTTAAGGACAAATTAATAGTTTCTACCCCTTTTGCCCTTTGTCTATACTTAGGATGCTCCTGAGTGTAACTAAAACTTGCTTAAACAATAAACAATGCATTTTCTGATATAAGAAATTGATATACACGTGATTTCAGGTTAATAAATATAGCAATTTGAGGTTATCAGATTTCCAGATCTGTTTTTCTGCACTTCTGGACTTCTTTTTTTTTTTTTTTTTAAATGGACTGCTTCACGAAGTTGCCTGACATCCTTTCATAGGGGCCATGCTAATCTTCTCTGTACTGTTCCAATTTCAGTATATGTGCTGCCAGAGCGAGTACTCTGGACATTTTTATAATTTACTAGAGACCCATTGCACAAAAATTGTGCATGGGGGGGAAGGGTGTCCCTCAGCCCAGCCTGCACCCTATCCAATCCAAAATCCCTCAGGGGATGTCTCACTGCCGGTTTATTGGGCCTAAATTGGCAGTCAGATATCCCTCTCGCAATTCGGGACCACTGGCTCCTAACTGCTCGCCTGCCTGCCTGCCAGATCACCCCTAACTGCTCTCTCCTGCCAGCCTTATCACCTCTATCTGCCCTCCCCTGCCAGTCTGATCGCCCCTAACTGCCCTTCCCTGCAGGCCCGATCACCCCTAACCGCCTCTGCCTCGGCCCCCGTCACGGTGCCTTAGTCCAGAAGGAAGGCAGAATGACCAGAAGATGTTTGGTCGAGTTGGTCTAATTAGCATATTACTCTTTTATTAGTGTAGATAATGTGGTCACTTCACTAGAACTTTAAGAATCAAAACATTATCCAGTAGCATATTTCAACAAAGATTTTTTTTATTTAAAGTCTTGGTATTTAGGGAAGGTCTTGTTGGGGTTGGGGGGCTTCAATACAATATTCATCAGCTTTATGCTGTTGTACCAAAATGAGATTATTCTCTTAATTTGTCTGTGTTTAGATGAGTTACTAACTGGATTTCTGTTAGCAATCTCCCTGAGTAGGGCGATTTAAGCTATTTACCCTCTGTCTAGGGTTTAAGAATAAATGTAAACCATTTATTCTCGGTTTAGGGAAGACAGGATTTACTAAGTGGCTACAAACGGCGACCCAAGGCCACATGGACAACATGGAAGGAACTGAAAGTCGAAACTTTTTTGGTATCTTGTAGGAGAGTAAACTAATTGTCTGTGACCTCTGGATGGAGTTAGATAAGGCAAATTCCTTGAATATTATCTTTGATCTTTGATTATGGAGCATTCTAGGCAGGAAGACCTGATAATAGGATTAGTCATGGGACAAATCTGAAATCTTTACTATTTTTTAGTGCCATTAAAAAACCCCCACAAAACTAATGTATTTGGTGCCTGACACTTTCTGATTGAATAAGACCATCTTCAATTCGCTTTTTCTAATTTTTTTTAAATTAATGTGGCAATTCATACTGGGGTATTACTTAATACATTTTCATTGAACCTTAGTCTCCTAATTATATGAAACTGAAATTTCGTAAAAAAAGGTTAGGAAAAAGGTAAAATATATCAGGGCTATCCAGAAATAAGGAATGTTATTGTCTGAGGAACATTTGGAGAAAAAATGGACAGTGACCTATGACCACATCCTCAAGAAGTAGATCTAAAGTTGGATTCTAATTTTCCCTACTTTTCATAATAACTTCCTGTGAACCCAGTGTGCATATATTGAATTTGGAGTGAGGTGAAATTATTTTGAATATCAATACTATGCTGCTACAAATCACAAGCAGATGAATAAAAGTAGGTCATTTGGTTCACAAAGACAATAATTCCCACAATCTGAGAAAAGAAACTACCATAGGAATTTGTTGTTATTTCTCTTTTTTTGGGGGGGAGGGGGATTGTACTTTGTAAGTTCTAAGCATCTTTCTTAATCTCTGTTCAGTAAACATTATTAAGTATTAATAACCAACCATTTGACTTTGTTATAATGTTAATACTTATTTGATGCTGAAATGATTATTTGTAGAACACTGCCTTGGAGTTAAGCATTAGGATATTGTTAGACCTCTGGTTTGAATCCTAGCTCTGGCTGAAACCGATTTGGCTCAATGGATAGGGCATCGGCTTGGGGACTGAAGAGTCCCGGGTTCGATTCCGGCCAAGGGCATGTACCTTGGTTGCGGGCGTTTCCCCAGTAGGAGGTGTGCAAGAGGCAGCTGATCGATGACTCTCTCATCGATGTTTCTAACTCTGTATCTCTCTCCCTTCCTCTCTGTACAAAATCAATAAAATATATTAAAAAATAATAATAATAAAAAAATTAAAAAAAAATGAATCCTGGCTCTGAAAGTATTGATTTGACATTGAGTAGCCTTATTAAAACCTTATCAGAGCCGAAGCCGGTTTCGCTCAGTGGTAGAGCGTTGAGTGTTGATCTGCAGACTGAAAGGTCCCAGGTTCAATTCCGGTCAAGGGCATGTAATTGGTTGCGGGCACATCCCCGGTAGGGGGTGTGCAGGAGGCAGCTGGTCGATGTTTCTCTCTCATCGACGTTTCTAACTCTCTATCTCTCTCCCTTCCTCTCTGTAAAAATGCAATAAAATATATTTAAAAAAAAAAAAAACCTTATCAGAAACTTTCTTATAAAAAAATTGAGATATTAATGCTACTAATCTCAGGAGGAAAAGCAAACGAGATAATTCGTATAAAGTGGTGTGTGGCAAGTGGTTAATGCTCAATACATAACCATTAACTAACAATACTCTTTTCTTAATTGTGGAGTTGAGCCTGGAATTACTAGAATTTTGTTATATGTTGAAGGACAGGTGGAAAAGATCTACCTGATATTTATTTTTACCTTACAGTTCTTTTGTACACAGAAAGTTCCAGCAGTATATGCAAATACTCGCAATAACCCTGGCCAGAAAGTGCTATTACCAGTTCTGAATTATCTTAAGGAAACTGACTCAAAAGAGACTTTCAAGGGCAAGCCCTTGCTGTAGTCCACATGGTTGGTAAAATATGAATAAATTTGGGCAAGTTGCCAAATTTGTCTGGTTCCAGTAAGTCCGTGTTCTTTAAAATATTATGAAACAATTACGGTACCGGTATACAAAAAGGACAAGGAGTTACATACTGAACACCAGAGTCAAGTTATTAACTTTAAGCCTGGGTGGGATAGTTTATGAAAAGGCAGTGTCTTTCCATTTACGTGCCTTGAAGGAATAGGCTCAGGAATGCAGCTGCGGTCAAGGGTGAAAGCTGATTTGATGTCCTGTGATAATGGAGTTTTAGGGCGTGTGGAGGGCAGAGAGATTCAGCTGAAAATTTGCAGGTTCTCTAAAAGAACAGGTTAAATCTGTGGTATTTAAGGAATGACTGACTTTGATAACCAATAACTCACACCCTTGGGAGTAGCCAAAAGGTGTCTTTTGCTATTCAGAAGAAATCCCATGCAGGCCACTGATCCTTGATGCTTCTCTCCTCTCTCTTCCTTTCTGAAATCAATAAAAATATTGGAAAGGAAGAGAGAGGAGAGAAGCATCAAGGATCAGTGGCCTCCTGCACGCCCCTTACTGGGAATCAGGAGGCAATTTTTTAAGAAAAACATATTTTATTGATTTTTTTTTTTATAGAGAGGAAGAGAGAGAGGGGCAGAGAGTTAGACACATCGATGAGAGAGAATCATCGATCCGGCTGCCTCTTGCACACCTGCTACTGGGGATGTGCCCACAACCAAGGTACATGCCCTTTACTGGAATCAAACCCCAGACCTTTCAGTCCGCAAGCCTAAGCTCCATCCACTGAGCCAAACCGGTTTCTGCGAAGGAAGCAATTTGCTAGAATGACAGCTTAAGGCAGATTTGGGGTCTGGAAGATATTTGACTGGGCATTCTCTGTACTGCTCCATAATTCCAGGGGAAGATGTCCAGAGACAAGGAGCCCATGGTAGAGAGGTCTTCCTCTTTGGTCAGCCATGTTTTCCAAGCAATTGGAACCAATCAACTTCAGTTGATTGCAGTTTTTGGTTAATTAGAAGTGGCCACTCCCTTTAGTTACTGTGTCCCCTCCTCTTTGCCCAACCCCTAAGATAAAAAAATTACTTTGGGGCATAAGACCCTGTGGCCAAACGAGGGTGGAGTTTTTGTTCGAGATAGGCATATAAAGAGAAGAGTAGTATAGCTCTGAATCTGGAGTGGACTAGTCTTCCTCTGGCGGAGAAGGGGAGAACTTCCGAAATCTCTGTCATGGCTCCAATTCAGCCCATCTGCGACAAAGACCAACAGCCTCATGGCTCCGAGGTAGGCGGGGTGGGAAGGCCTTCTGACCGGGGCCTTAGACATCCTCTTCCCCAAGGCAGATACCACTGGGCCTGCCTTTCTATGGCCTTTGACCCCCTCGTGGTGGCTGTAGGCAAACTGGAGAAACAGAAGTCACAGGAAAAACTAAGGAAATAGTGGGGCTACAAGGCTTGGTAGATGAAGTATCTACTTTTTATGCCGAAAGGAAAAGGAGAACTTAATGGTTGGACTTGTGGAGTAGACAGCTTCTGGGAAAGCAAGGTAGCTGTTTTGCAGGTTCCTTTTGAAGGAGGAGTTTGGGTGTGCTGATTTTTTAAAGTCTTCATTGTTGAAGGTATTCCACCATTACAGTAAATCTCCCCCCTCCCATTGTGTGTGTGAACTTTTTATTTTAGAATCTCTTCGGGTGGATCCTTGGTGAGTAACTGGGTCATCTTTTACTTTGGTTTAAATTTGTTTTTGTTAGCAAGTGGTTGTGGTGAGCCTTGCACCGTGGTGGTTTGCAAAGCATGGGCTTTCCTTGGTGCTTAGTATGAAATATGGGGGGTAAAATATAATATATTACCATGAGTGTGTCAGGTAAAGTCACCATTTGTAGAGGCACCGGTGGGTCTATGGAATTTTTTCTCAAAACACTCAATTGTGAGGTTGAGAACATTGATCCTGAGTGCCTCACTTCTGAGTAGGCATAAATAACTTGTGTTCTATGTCTTACTTGTTGAAATTGCTTTTTACTGAAATGGGTGGATGGGAGTAAAAACATATTAGATACTACAATGAGGCCATAGTATATAAACAGGTTATCTATAGTATTAAAATTTCATAAGGAGAACTAATGGGAGTGGGGGGGGGATGTTTAAAGGAGTCCTAGGGTGGGGGTGGGACAAATAAACAAAAAAAGCCGACTGAGAAACACAGACCCAAGGTCATAGTCATGTCTGTGAACATGCTTTGGAAGGCTTTGTCTTTATGAGCATGTGCTTCTTGAGACAGGAAATGCAGCACCAATGGAATGTGTCTTGCTGGGAGGGACTACAATCAGATCTGCCCTGCCC